TGGTACACGTTTGAATGTCAAACTTAATTAAATTAGTCTTAAATATGTTATATGAGACTTAGGAGTGGAAGAGTAAAGTCTACATCAAATCAATGAAATGCTCATCATAATAATGAAAATGAAAATATATTAGAACAAATTCCCATGAGTGAAAATGTTATGCCTACAATGGCAATGAAAATTACTTCATCCCCTATAATAGAAAACATTATTGGACAAAACATAGGTTTTTCACAATCGACATTAATAAATGTTACTAGAGAATATCCATGGGGTATGCCTCCAAATTGGAGAACAACACAACTAGTTAATACGGAAATCCCCTTAGCTTATCCCATGCCTAATCCTCAGGTCCATTTCTCCTCATATGGATATAATGCAAGTCCTCATGGAATAGGGTTTGTAATGCAAGATCATTTTCAACAAGTAGGAACAAGTCAAAAGGGTTCAATGATTAGACAAGGTAGTTTATATGCCAACTTGAATAAATAATCAAACAATGATGACTTTTAGACAATAAATGGATTATAGTAATCATGAAATGATTAATATGCTTTCAACACAAATGTCAATTGTGTTGAGTCCTCTCTATGATTTGATAAATAAGACAAGAGAAATTATATGATCAAAACCAACCATCAAATTCAAATAATAACATTAGAAATAAGGTAATAGAGAGGAATCAGAATGATTTAGAAAATCTCATATTAATTAATAAAGAACAAAATACAAATAGCATTTTAAATCAAATTTATCAAAATCAAAACAATAAGAATCAACCTCGAATTTATGGAGAAAATTTAGATTATGAAGTTGAACAAGAATTAAATAGACATGGTTTGATATTAAGTATTATAATCAACCTTACTTTGTTTCTGTTTTTCCTAAGTATATTATTCAAATAGAGTTACTTAGACGAGTTAAAGTTCCTAAATTCTCAGATAGAGTTACCTTAGGTAGTTGTTGAATGTTGAGTTGATGAAGTTATTTTATAACTAGCTAATTGCTTCTATATTATGTTAATTTCTTTTTTATGAGTTAACTTTTACATTTCCTTATTGTTAGACTGTGACGATCATACTTGATATAGGAGTAAGATAGGAATAGGCTGAAGGATGAACACGTTTCATTGAAAGCCATGCTAGAGAATGGTGGTGTTTTCTATAGGCTACTATGATGTAATTAGTTTAGAGTTGTTACTTGACCAACAACTTAGGATTTATGTTTTCCGTTGGATTATTGTGTGTATATATCCAAAAGCTGCTTGCATTTTAAATTATAGATAATTATATTTATGTTTTCCGTTGCCTAGTTCTCTGAGTAGTAAAGTGAAGAAACATAATGAGTCGTTACAACTAGAGATTAATTTTAATTAAAGTATTGTTCTGTATTTATTTAGCAACTTAAATTTATTAAGAATTCATAAATAAACTTTAAAATATATTTTTAAAATACCATAAAAAGTCTAACTAAAAAAATAAAAATAAAAATAAATTTTAATCTACTATATATATATATATATATAGAGAGAGAGAGAGAGAGAGAATAGAGTCAAAAATACACATTATTAGATTTCTCTATATTATGTCACATGTAAAAATTGAAATTACTAAAAAAAAAAAATTAGTAACATTATTTTTAGGTTTTTAATTTTTTTTAATAAAATTTAACATCAACTAGATGATACTGTAAATAAAAATAAATTATTATCCTTTTTAACTCTTAATAGACATATTATAAATTAACTTAAAAAATGTATCAAAGAAAAGTAGAGGTCAAACTTTAATTTTGTGAATACAAAATCAATTATCAACCCTCTTTAAAAATTTGAGCATAATAATATATATTTTTTAATTTTATTATTATAGTTGATGTCTTGCTAGCAAAATAAGTACTTTTATACAAATTTAATGATATATTACATAACAACTATATTATTTATATATATATATATATATATATATATATATATATATATGTATGTGTGTGTGTGTTAAAAGCTAGACAGAAAATGTTACTAAAAAAAAACTTTAATACGTAATTCCAATGTTTACACGTTACATAATATAGAGAAATTTAATGATGTAAATATGTTACTCTATTATATAACGTGTAAACATTGGAATTACGTACTAAAATTTTTTTTTAGTAACATTTTCTGTCTAGCTTTTAACATATATATATATATATATATATATATATATATATATATATAAAATAGAGTAGTAGATTTATGTTATTAAGCATAAAAATTGAATTACTAAAGTTTTTTTTAGTAACATTTTATTTTATTTTTTACTTTTTTAATGTTTTCTTTTCAGTAAAATTTAGCATCAGCCAGAAGATATAGTAAATAAAAAAAATATTGTCATTGTTAAGTCTTAATAGACATATTATAAACTTTAAAATTATCTCAAGTAATGCATAGTCAAAGGTATGAATACAACATATATAAAAGATAAGTTGGGTCAAATTTTAATTCTATGTCTACAAAATCAATTATATTACTCTTTAAAAATTATGCATAATAATATATATTTTGTGTTATTTTTCTTTTATGGTTGATATATATATCATATTGATTAAATAAGTATTTTTATACAAGTTTTATAATTTTGTACATAACAACTATTCAAATAAATTACTTATTTCTCATATAATTTTACATAAGTAATTTGTCTTATTTGTAGTAAAAATGCATGTTTAAAAAGAAAAAAGTATTGGCTAGTTAGCCTACCTGTTATGTAACAGCCCAAATTTTACTGGGCCAAGAGTCCAATTAAGGTGGTTTAGTAGCCCGGAACGGGCCGTTCCAAATTACTAAATAGACCTACTTTTGGAAGCCCAGAACGGGCCGTTCTGGATTTGGAACGGGCCGTTCCAAACCATTAAATTTTGCTTATGATTCTTAGTTGGGAACGGTACGTTCCCAACTAGAACGGACCGTTCCGGATTTCAGAAATGGTCTTTGAACCTTATTGAGAACGGGCTGTTCTAGTTTCAGAATGGATTGTTCCAAAATATGACCGTTGAGAGTTTTTAATGCAAACCCTAGAACGGGCTGTTCTGGTTTGAGAACGGGCCGTTCTGGATGTGAATTTTACACATGACGTGAGATTTCGGAATGGGCCGTTTCGGATTTGAAACGGGCCATTCCGCGAATCCTGATGCCTATAAATTGAGTGCTCTAGTACTCCAAAATGATATTTTTTTCATTTTTGACTTCTTTCTTCTACATTCTCTTCTTTCCCTTCTACACTCTCTAAAGATCGAGGGGCACTTAGAGGAGGAGACCAAGAGATCTCTGTTTTAGTTTCAACTGCTGTTTATCCAGGTACGGGAGAAAAAATGAATTATTTATATGTAGAGTTACATGAGAGAATTGGGTAGAGGAAGAGTCCCTTAGGATTATGAGTAATTTTATAATTATTTCTGTTTGGAGAATTATTGGTCTTATGTGATTCTGTATATATTTAGGACTACGAATATATGATTAATTTGTAAAAATGATGCTCTGGGAGAGATAACGAAATTATAGAAAAGTGCCTGTAAGTTAGGTTTTGGAAAAATTGAATTATTTTTATTTGAGAAATTGATCCCATTAGATTCTGTATGTGTTGAGGATTAGAAATATATATTTAATTTGTAAGAATGATGATCTGAGAGGGAGAACGAAACTGTAGAAAAGTGCTTGTGAGTTAGGTTTTGGAATAATTGGAGGTTTTACTATTTATGTTAAAATTATATTAAATGGATAATTCCATTGATTATTATATTAATTTATGAATGTTATTGTTATATTACTTGATAAGAATAGATGATCTAGATGTGAATTGCTTGAGGGGTGTGTAAACCCTTATTTTGTTAGACTTATTTGTTGTGTATGTGATAAGGAATTGTGTATGTGATATGAAATTGTGTATGTGATATAGAATTGAACTATGAGATGTTGTGTGGAATGTGAATGAAATGTGATTGTGGTTCTTCACACCTATGACCAGGGGTGAGCACGGCCTGGGATTGTTACATGGGTATCGTGACCTTGGTTAACATGTCAGGGGTGAGCACGACCCTGAGTTAAGGGTAACGTGACCTTGGCACAGTGTTATATCAGGGGTGAGCACGGCCTGGGATTGTTACGTGGGTATCGTGACCTTGAATAACATGTCGGGGGTGAGCACGACCCTGGGCTAGATATGGGGGAATCGTGACCTTGGCACGGTGTTATATCAGGGGTGAGCACGACCTTGTATTGTTACGTGGGTAGCGTGACCTTGGAATAATGTGAAGTGCAAGATTTGTGATGATTGGTGTGATTGAGAATTATGACGTGATGACGATGCATGATTGATTAAAATACGATATGTTGAAATATTTATGAATATTAAGTTATAATGAGTTATGATTATGTTGTGTTTTTCCTTGTGTGCTTTTCATATAAATGTTTTCTTTTCTTACCGTACAAATTGTAGATATTTTAGGTGAGGAAGATCCGGCTACGAGTGACATCTAGAATGCCAACAGTTGAATTGTGGGTATGCTCTGATATTGTGACATCGGGGCAGAGAATTTTTAGGACATAGATTTTTATATGGATTTGGCATTGTAAATATGATTTTGAAAACAATTTGTAAACTCTCAAGTTTTATTTTCAAATATTATGTTGGTTATTGATAAATGAATATGAAGGTTTTATGTGAACCCTTTTACCAACGTTAAAACTTTTATTCTTTAGTTTATTTATATGATTAATATTTATATATGTGTTGGGGTAGGAAGGGTGTCACATGTTATATTCTAGATATGTTTATTTTTCATCTATATATATACTAGTTGTAGAATCGTTCTGTACTGACTCTCTTATTTTCTATCAATAGAAGAAATATTATTCAGTTTATGCGGTCTCAATCATCAATATGGTATCAGGAGAATAATTTTTTCTCCCCTTAATTCTTCCGCTGTTCATCCATCCTCATCTTCTTCGCGTTTCGTTTGTCGTCATGGCTGATGGGAAAGATTCATCATCCCTTCCAAACGATGATTACGCGAATCCGTTCTTCCTTCATCCGTCGGATAACCCTGGTGCATTCATTGTCTCACAACCATTAAATGGCGAAAACTACAATTCTTGGAGCCGCGCAATCTTAATGGCCCTTGGCGGCAAGAACAAAATCGGATTCGTCGATGGCACGATTCCTAAGCCAAAGGAAACTGCAAAATCTTTCCATTCTTGGCAACGCAACAACAATATCATTGCTTCTTGGTTATTAAACTCGATCTCGAAGGATCTTCAAGCAAGTGTCATCTATTCGTCTTCCGCCGCAGCCATATGGAGTGATCTTCGAATATGTTTTCAGCAGCAAAATGGTCCACGCGTTTTTCAATTGAGACATGATTTGATGACCTTGAAACAAGGTTCCCTTTCTATCACTCACTATTTTACCAAGGTCAAAGCCTTATGGGAAGAATTGACTGAATACATACCCCCACACACTTGTGATTGTGGTGCTATCAAATCTTGGATTGATTATCATCAATCTGAATATGTCATGTTGTTCTTGATGGGATTAAATAAGGGTTATTCTCAATTCCAATGACACTCCAACAACTTTTGCATACAAATCAGGATCCAACAACAGTTCAAGCAAAAACAACCTCAACTGTGAACATTGTCAGTAACTTGGTCATACCAGGGACAAATGCTTCAAGCTTCATGGGTACCCTGCACATCTGAAAAAGGGATGCTCAGCCAATGCTGTCAATCAAGTTTCAGACATACATGATAAGTCATTTCAGTTTACAGCAGATCAATATCAACAACTTATCTCATTACTACAGAATCAACCAACATCCAGTACCAACATTGACAATAATCCCCTTGTAAATGGTGTGATTCTTTCAATTAGTCCCTCTGTCGATACTCTTTCTTGTACCAGTTGGATTGCTGATTCTGGAGCCACCACTCATGTAGCATGCTCATCAACCTTTTTTTAAATACTATAATGTTACCACTGATCATCATGTGACTTTGCCTAACCAAAGTCAAATACCTGTTTGTGGCATAGGCACTATCATTCTTGATAATCATATTATTTTGAAATATTTTTGATATGTGCCAAAATTTAAATACAATTTGTTATCTGTACATTGTCTTCTAAGGGACAACCCTCTTTCATTGTCATTCGAGTCTAATAAATTCATTTTGCAGGATACTCTTCACAAATGGACGATTGGCACGGGTGAAGCTGTAAAGGGATTATACCTTTTGAAACAGCCTTCCAACAAACAACAGACTGATACTATTTTTTGTTCTAATTCTAGTCTGCCAACACAATTTACTTTCATTTCTAGCTTTCCTACTTGTAATAAACAGACTGATATATGGCATTATAGGTTTGGTCATGTGAATGACCTTGTTTTGAAAATGTTAAGTAATAAAGTTCCTTTTACTATGCCAAATTCCTATTCTTCATCTACTTGTCATATTTGTCCTATTGCTAAATTCAAGAGATTACCTTTTCAATGTCATAATAATTTTTGTTCCAAACCTTTTTATTTGATACATTGTGATGTTTGGGGACCATATAGACATCCCACTTATAATTCTATGAAATATTTTCTGACTTTGGTAGATGATCAATCCAGATACACATGGATCCATTTATTAAGAACCAATCCAGAAGCAACTTCTGCAATCAAGTCTTTTTTTTAGTTTGATTCAAACACAATTTGGAGTCACCATCAAACAATTCCAGAGTGATAATGCCAAAGAGCTTTCCTTGACAAAATTCCTCAAGGAAAAAGGCACTCTTCATCAACTATCTTGTGTTGAAAGACCACAACAAAATGTCGTGGTGGAGAGAAAACATCAACATCTTCTAAGTGTTGCACGAGCTTTGTATTATCAATCCAAAATCCCAATTAGTTTCTGGGGGGATTGTATCACTACTGCTACCTTCCTTATAAACAGGATGCCCTCTCCAAATACTAAGAACATCTCACCTTACAATCTTTTATGTGGTAAGGATCCTGATTATACTGTGCTAAAAAATTTTGGTTGTTTATGTTTTGCAGCAACATTAAATTCCCAAAGAGATAAATTCTCTCCAAGAAGCACAACATGTATCTTTATTGGCTACCCTCTGGGAATGAAGGGATATAAGTTGTGCAACATTCATACCAAAAGGGTTTTCGTCTCCAGGGATGTTATCTTCCATGAAACCATTTTTCCTTATCATTCCATCATTGAACATGAAACACATAACCTCTTTCATGATACTGTTATTCCTTTACCCATTTCATCTTCTGATAGTTGTCAATCCACAAACACCAATATACAACTTGATCTTGAATTCACCCATCATACACAGGATCTCACTCCTCAAAGCCCCCACAATAATTCACCCGAATCTAGTTGAAGAAGGATGTATCAAACTGATCCATGTTAAGGCAGAAGATCAAATTGCTGATATGTTTACAAAAGCACTCTCACAACCACTCTTCAAAAAATTCAACAGCAAGTTGGCTTCTTTCAATATCTATTTGCCAACTTGAGGGGGGTTATTGGCTATTTAGCCTACCTGTTATATTGTAGATATTTTTATTTTTCATCTATATATATACTAGTTGTAGAACCGTTCTGTACTGACTCTCTTAATTTCTATCAATAGAAGAAATACTATTCAGTTTATGCTGTCTCAATCATCAATAAAAAAGTTTTTGTTGAAAGTTCAGTTATTATATATAAATGCTTCGTTAGTCTTATTTTTCTATATATTTTTATAGTTTAATTTTTAAAATAATTAATTGAATAATACATTATTATCTATCTATGTTAGTATGATTTCAATTATTTTGTAAACAGAGTTATACAACTCATTTGCCTAAGAGTATGTTGATTATATTTTGTATGATATTATGTATTTTTCAATTAAATAATTTTAATAGAATAACTAATTAAATGCATTTTATTTATGTTTAATATAAAATTTACATCATATTTTTTTTTCTTTGTACACATTTTCATCTTATTATTTTATTTTAATTTAATATAGAATTATTTAAATAAAATTTATTTTTTCACAAATAATTAGGAAAAGAAAGTACCCATACATATATGCACAAATTACTTACTGGTTTATATGTAAAAACTTATAAGTTTGGGAGGCCACCTCTGTCCTTTAAATGTTCTTCTATTATACGCATATCGCGTACAAACAAACACTAATATGCTTAATCTAATTTATAATCATTAAAGTGGATTTAATAATAAAAAATTAAAATAATACATACAAAATTTTATATTAAAAACTATTTTCATCAACTCAACATCATAATTTGTACATATAAAAATATCTATCCTAAGTCGATGGAGTACAAAATTTCCTTAAACTCATCTTGAGCCATGCATGATGAAACACACCTTACCCTTTTAAAAAACTAATTCCACTATTAAGGTGGATGGTAGTTCTTTCCATTAAAAAATGAGGGGCATTGGGACACTGCGTCGAGATAAGAATGTCATGGAACATTTTATATTCATTGATTTTCTGTTTCATGTCATTCAGTGTATGGCTTTATGGGGTCATGGGTACCAATATTAATTCTGATAATAAGTAGGACAAAGTATTGTTCTTCTATTCATTCTTTCCACTTGTCCAATGTACATCTAACAAGTTTATTCAAGACAAAACAAAATCTCTCGAGAAAGGTGTCTTCATCATGCATGTGACTGAGATATTTACTAAGTGGTCCTTACTCATTTTGTTTTTTAATACTATAGGATAATAAGGTAACATATCCACTTTCGCTATTTTGCACTAATTTATTTTCATGAAAAGTGACAAAATTTATAATTCATCATTCAGATTAATTGTTGTGTAACCATGTATGATAGAGGAAAGGCAAAAAAAAAACAATTTAGGCATGATGACAGTCGTTTCGTCAAGTTTCTTACTAAGCTAATGCATATTATAATTGAGAATAGAAAGTAATTTGAATCATTGAATGTGATAATGAGATAGGTTATTACACTCTTTATAATTTTTTGAAAATGTACATGATATTTTTAACTTTTAATGCTGCTGTAACTCCTTTTACAGGAATACACATAATGAGTTTCTCAAGTAACATGAGTATATGGTGAAATGTATTTTAAATAAAGAATCACTACATTACTTTATCAATTGAGATATTTTTATATAAGCAATCTTTTAAATTAACAAAAGTGATCTATAGGGTGAATTTTTTTATTCTTACTTTTCTATATATATATATTAAGTGATAATTCGTTTGATAGAAATTAAAATAATTTTGAAAAAATATAATAAAATTTTATTATTAAAATTAAGAAAAAATTTGTGAATTTTTTATTTAATTTTTTTCTTATAATTTATGTGAGACCCCGCTGCCTTCTTTTCATTCTCTTCTCCCTCACTTCCATTTCACTCTCACTCTCATACTCTTTTCTCCCCCAAATTCTCTGCTCACTTGTTGATTCTTCTTGGTGATCTTAGGTGCTGATTCGTAGTGTTGGAAGCTAGCTGAAGCGCGGATTCACTTCTCCTTCTCCGTCTTTCTTCCCCATTCGTTTTCTCTTGTTCTTCTTCTTCCCGGAGCTCGGAATTTTCTTCACCGAGGTAAGGGAAGCTAGATTCTTGCTGGTTATGTGGACATGAGCTTAGAAACTCATGAGTTGTTTTATGTTGGCTAATTTAGGGACTGTTTCGAAGAAAATGTGTTTTTGGGTTTTTCGGGGTTTGATGAAAAATTTGGGGTTATTGATGATTGATGGATGCATGTTGAGAAAGCTGGGATTTTTGGGCTATTTGATGAAAATGTGAAGTTTTGGGCGGATTGCAAGTGTATGGATTGCTTATTTTTGTAGGTGTTGGTGTAAATTTTTGAAATTGGAGAGTTGTTGCGTGGTAGCACATCAAGGGCGCGTGACCATCAGAGGGCTCTATTGGTCGAGCCTGCTGGGCGCAAAGTGGTGTGCGTCGGGCGAGCTGGAGGATGGATGCCCCTGGATGGCTCAAGCCGGGCGTGGTTAGACCATGTTGGGCACGTTATCAGTTAGTGACTCACTTTGTTGGGGTTCTGGTGTGGCACCGAGCATGACTTTGTCTCGCTGGGCGTGGAGACTCCTTGGGAGTCTCTGCTAGAGGTGGTGTTGGGCACAATTGGTATTGCGCCAAGCGTGAGACCTTGGGGAGGTCTCTGCCTTCCCTGCGCCGAGCGCGGGTTTGGCACGCTGGGTGCGTGAGGCTCCTTGGAGTCTCTGCCTGGGTTTGCGCTGGGCGCAATTGGTATTGCACCAGGCGCGTTTGAGCCTTGGTGCTCTCTGGTTGGGTCACGCCGGGCGCAACCATGAGTTTGTTGGACACGGATGTGATCTTTATTATATGTTGATATATGCTGAGAAATGCTGATATATGTTGATGTTTGCTGAGCTGAGCTGTTATTGATGAATGTTGTTGAGCTGATTGATGATTTTGTTGTGCTGAGATGTGATTTATGTTGAATTATGATGTTAAGCTGTGCTCTGTAAAGATGAGTTGTACTGTATGTTGTTAATGTTGTTATGTTGTGTTGTGCT